GAAGGTGCTGTATCACGTCCTGGTTTCAAGGCAGCCTCGATGCTTGGTCATAGAGCACAGGAGACTGCATGGTAGCAGGGGGTGCTATGAACAAAAACATGCACTTGATTTCTTTGACCAGTCTGCATAGAAGGTGTGCAACACAAACCTCTAGGGTTCTCTCAGCAAAGCTATGCCACATGCTGAAGAGAATGCTACATCCTGGCAAAGGCAGATCTGGGCAGCTAGTGGTGATGATGTTGTCTGAGGACCTCACACTGGGATATCAAGTGGCCCCACACCAGAACAGCCACAAGTGGGATGCTCTCAAATTCCCAAGGGCCAGGTGAGGAAGGCTCAGCAGCAATCTACTGAAGAGAGAAGCAGGACCCTGAGACTGTGCCAGAGCAGGCGCAGATACACCAATAAACTTTCTGACAGTTGAGCCAAGCCCCTGAGAGCCCCCTGCCATCCTGCCATTGCACTGACAGCCCCCCTCAGGTGACACTATGGCCTTAAGGTGGCCTCCTCACAACCAGCTAACAGAGGAAGGAAAACCCAAGCTCGGTACACAGATGGGTCAGTTTGAAGATGCAGTAACGGTGATAATGGACTGCTCCCCACAATATTCCCATTCAGGAAAAACCAGTGGTGAAGGTAAATCCTCCCAACAGGCAGGCCACTATTTAAAAGCATCATTAAATTGGCTTTGTACACATTCACATATTCACTTTTATTTTTTTTTTATCCATTTTTGAGTTGATTTTTGTGTATGATGTGAGATAGTAGTTTAGTCTCATTATTTTGCATGTGTCAGTCCATTTCCCAGCACCACTTGTTTTTTTTTTTTTTTTTTTAAAGATTGATTGATTGATTGATACATACAAGCACTGGGTACAGTCAGAAGCGCGGGAGGGTGAGAGAATTCACCAGAGCCAGAGCAGGGAGCAGAACAGGCAGAGTGACAAGCACACTGCTGAGGGGAGCAGCGGGCTGCAGGAGAGGTCTGTGCGCCATGTGGGACCCTCCTCAGGAGGCCGGGGAGCAGCCGGAGATCGAACCAGTGCTGCAGAGGCTCTGGGCAGCTTTGCAACCCAGCGCTCAACCGATGCGCCACCCGGGAGGCCCCACATATTCACTTTTAAATGCATGTTACCCCATTCACAAGATTTCAACAGGGCTTTAAAAAAAAAAGGTATTGTTTATTTAAATAACCTGGATTTAAATTACATCATTAGTAATAAAATGTATTTGCCAGTTATTATTAACATTGCTAGTAAGAGAGATCAGAAGGGGAATACTCCCAAAACCATGTACAGAACATGCAGACGAAGCATTAGGCTTTTTGAGAATTCTATGACAATAGCCCCAGCATGAGAGGCTTGGGAAGTCTTGGCAATCTAGCAAGCAGACAGACCAAATGGCTCAAGGACAACAGGGCTCCAGAACCAGACAAACATGACTTTGCTTCAAGGGTTTGCCATTGACCAAGGGTACAACTTTGGAAAATTTATATACTACTTTACAGTCAATTCTTGACAGGGCTGCCAAGCACAGTTGTGCAGCCGGTGCACTGTACAAAGGCACCTAGTAGAGGAGGAGTGGGCAGCATGGATCAGAGACAGGTTCCTGCTTTTAACCCGCAAAAGGCATGTAGCCACCTATAGGCTACCTCAGGCTTGGCCATTGTCAGAATTTAAATAAGATCACATCTATAGAGCACCTTGTAAGTTGTAGTGAATGGTAGCTGCTACTTCTGACTCCATTATCACCACGTCATCAAGCCTAAGCTAAAAATGGCAGGCAGAACCCAAGTCCTGTAAGATGAAGATGCTCCCAACAGGAAGGGCACATCTGTAACATACTCTCCTTGTACCAACAGACTTTAAATGGGTCCCACAGGGCTCGGACCCATCTTACCTGTGGATGTTCCCTACCACTTAATCATATGCCAAATGACTGAATGAGTAACTGAATGAATGAAAGGATTACCTTTTTTTTTTTTTAACAAGGTAACAACAATAAAAGCTTTTTCACCAGTCATTTACGTAATTATATAATTTCGGAGGTACAACGTCGCCCCTCCACATGTGCACAGGCCTCACTCACCCTCCACCAGAGCGCCTGTGCCTGTCCTAGTCCTTTCCTTCCCCTGTCCCCTTCTTAATTCCCTCCCCATTCCCTCTGGTCACCAGTATGTTTTTCAAATTGTCTAGGAATTATTCTTGATGTGCTAATAAAGCACCTTAGAAAACTTTTGCTTGGAGTCCTTCTTGAGTATCTCCCAAGTTGTTGGTTTCAGGTTGCCAGTTCTCAGACTGATTTGCTGTCTCTTTTGAGGCCATTTATGGAATGAGTCTAGGTTGATGCTCAGAAAGTATTGCTTCAACTATCTTAAGTTTTGACCCAGAATCCTTAGAGTAGAACCTAAAAAAGGACAACCCCACAGATTCTCCACCCTTTTCTCTAAGTCTTGTTCACCAACAGGTACTCAAACACCATCCTTCAGGCAGTGGATGTGAGACTCAACCACCCTTTTATGTCACACTGACCACGCTCCAATCAGATTGTGTGGCGTTTTTCAGCTGACCCCAGGGGTCACATTGTTTCCTTTCAGACTCTTCATAATGAGTCTGGTTCTTTATATCAAGCTGAGCTCTATGCTCGGTGAGGGCGACCACTAGGACAGGGAGACACTGCTGGTAGAGATGAGCATCTGTGGTAAAAGACCCCTCTCCTGGCCCTGTTGAGGCCCCTCCCCTTTCTCAGTGTGACATGGAGAATCACATCTCACCGGCAAGGGAGAGGGAGGGCGTGAGGTACATGGAAACCAAGTCTTCCCTGAACGAAACTCTCAGTGCCGTGCAGTCAAGGATGGTAATGGCTCAGCATGTTGAATTTTCCTGTAGTTGCCCCTGTTAGCATGAGTGGGCTGCAGTGGCTCTGAACGTGGTTATGTTGCCACATGAGACATGGCTGCGCCTCTGGGACATTTCTTCTCTTCAAGCTCCTCCCTCTCCCACTGCCTGGAGTTCCTCTCTTCCTCCTAATTCAGTCCTCATTAACTTGAAGGAATTACACTTCACTCCTTGTGCAGATAGTTTTAAACACCAGGAGAACGCTATATCCATAACTAAGAGCAGAAAGGAGCCATAGCAAACTTCCCCACAAACGAGCCTTGATAGAAAGGTTAGAGGAGCTTTTGTTTCTTCCCAGAACCCAGGTCTCTCTTGCTAAACTTACCTTCCATGCAACTCAGACATGGCTGAAGTGCTCTTTTTCAGAGGAGTTCTCTAGTGGCTACTAACATGTCCTATTATCTCTGGGCTGGGTCTCTGGCTTTAGCTGTCTGTTTCGAGTCTGATCTTAGAATACACTGCTTTTACAATCATTTTTACATTCACTAACTTTAATGGAAAACAAACATATTGTGCTGTTATTTCTCTGTAAGAGCAGAATTTCTTAGAACTGATTATATTAAAGCCCTCACAGAAAAGTTTTTGGCCATTTCAAAGAGAACATCTCCGTAAATGCAGAGCAAAAATCTTTTCTCGATAAGTAAAATCTTTTCTCGATAAGTAAAATCACAGCAAAATGGTGAAAGGGAGGAGAAAAAAAATGCATTCTGCATAATAATTGTGTTTTGGAAAGTGGCATTGTGAGATCACAAAGGATTTGAAGAGAGGGTGATAAAGATTTCTTTAGATAAGGCTTTCCATTTTTGGTCCTAATAAAGTAATTGATGCCTAGGTTTCTGTTCCAGACATTAGTAATTCTTGGTCCCTTAAAGTCTAAAACATTGATCAAGATCTCCTGTATTTTCAGATTCCTCCCAGTGGTCACCAAATTCTCTTTCTGAGATAGCTCCAATTAACACCTCAAATTCTGTTTCTCAGAGAACTGAGAAAGCAACACAGAGAGGCCTGTAAGGGAAGGTCGAGAGCCTGGACCTGATGCCAGGTTGGCTCTGCCACTTGCTCCCTGTGTGACACTGGGCAAGCTGCTTAGACTCTCAGATCCTTGTTCTCCCACCTGCATAATCGGGTGGTAACAGGATGTACTTCACAGATTTATTAACAGGACTATTTCTGAGATGCACAGAATAGTGGTTGGCAGATTAAAGTAATGTATGAATGTTGTTAAATTAAGTTTTGCAACAAAACCTAATCCTGATTGGCTATTTTTCTTGAAAATCAGTGTTTTCATCCAATTAACCCACTGGAAGAAACTGTTAATAATTTAAAGGACATATATATATATATATATATATATATATATATATATATATAAACCTCTATCCAAAAGAACATATACAAATAATAAATATCTTCATCCCAGATTATAAAACTAGATGTCCAACAATTGTTAAAATATCAAGACAAGAAATATAACTAAAATATTCTAAAAGTTTAAAATGAAAAAAAATAATAAAAACAAAATATCAAGATAATTTTAAAATTAATTATCTATTTTCAACATAAATATTAAGAAATTTTAAAGGAAAAAACAAATACTCGAGGGCCTCCCTGGTGGAGCAAGGGATTGAGCATAGAGCTGCGAAGCTGTCCTCAGCCTCTGCAGTGCAGGTTCGATCCCTGGCCAGGGAGCTGGTCCACATGGCACAGCAGACCTCTCCTGTCTCCCACTGCAACCCTCAGCAGTGTATTTCAGTAGAACTGCCTGTTCTGTTTCCCGCTCTGTCTCTGCTGAGCCCTCTCACCACCCCACACCTCTGGCTTGTGCTCCAGTTCTTGTATGCATAAATAAATGAATCTTTAAAAAAAAAAAGCACATACTCAAGAGGATATTTTTAAAAATGGATTATAAATCCACTTTCAATGTGCTTTTAAGTGTATAAAGCAGGTTTAAGTGTAGAAATAATTGGTACTATGATTCCATTTTCTATTGAAGCAATACATATAAGAAGACAGAAAAGTCTGAACTGATAGACACCAAAATGCTCACAGTGACTATTTTTGGGTGATGAAATAGTTTCTTCTCTTTTAAAATCTGGATTTTCTATCATTTCTTGGCCTTTTGGATAAGATCAAGTGGAGCATCTGTTTTTATCAGTTCAATGTCTGATTCATCCTCTATCCATGAACGTTTGTATGAAATGGACTCTGGAAGCCAGCAGCTGGGATAGCAACTTGCTCTGTCCACTCCATGCACCATTTGGGACAGTAGAACCTCCAGGAACCATGCAAACTTTGGTGGGAAAGAAAGATCTAGCAGCCATTAAAAGAACATTTTTAAAAAATTTGGGTCTTCTAAATGATGTCAAATGATATTCATTACTATTATTACACCAAAAAATTAGTAAAAGTATAGTATCATGGTTGTGAAGATTCCTTTTCTTTCTGTAGGAATTTCTAAGGAAAATGGAGAACTATAATGAATTCTTCTCATTAAAAATAATCACAACTTCCATAAAACTCAACATTAGTAAGGAGATTATTTTTATCCCATTGCCTTAGACTTAAGGCATCAACAGGCATTTAAACCATCTTGAATGTATCAGGATATTTTAATCATTGGTTCTCACTTTTATTTTATATTAGTTATAGACCGATAACAAGATTAATGTTGGTTTATTTTATATAATCAAAGAACTCAATTTGAGAATTGAGTAGATACTCTGTGACTAAATTAATTTTAACTAAAGTTTCTTCAATCTAGCAAATAATAGAAGTGAAAGTGAAAAGTGAAAAGTTTTAAGATACTATTTCTCAGGCAAGAGAGATGGCCTCTTAAGTGGATACATTTTCCAAGAGACAGAAAGAAAAGTTAAATATGCCTCTCAGGCTTTCTATTATTAGGGAAGTTTTGCTCCCAATTTTCCCTTCTTCATGTGTGACTTGCTTTTTCCCTCAAACTCAGTGTATTTTTTTTCCAGATTCATCTGTGACTGCCTGTTTCTTCTTTTGATCTCCTTTTAAAGTGTTCAACATTCTTAAGTCAAATTCTTGTGAAAATACCAACTGCTACTGTTATTCCTCCTCTTTTTTTTAGCCACAATGGAGATTATTTCTCTTATAAAAGAAACATAAGCCTAAAAGCCACAGTGAACGAGTACATTGAAAACTGATAAATCAATACATTTAAAATTTCAAGGAAGATTTCAGATTTGAGGGAAGTCACTCAGTTTTTGTTCTCCCACAGGACAAAGAAACAAATTTCTGTCTTTTAATTGGCCAGCTGTTCACCAATTCACATCTCTTTTGACCACTGGAAACCTACTAAAGCCTTGCAGACTCTCTGAGGCCCTGTTCTCTAGCCAGCTTTCTTTCTTTGCCCCTCCCAGGAATTCCTCAGTGGATGGTTCAAAACTTTCTACCTTGTTTCCCTTGAATATGTCCTCAGATTTAGGGAAAAAAGGCTTGTGAAAAGAGGACAACCCAGTTTTCCAGTGCAAACAAAACTTTTCCTCACCCACCAAGGAAATCTCAGAGTAGTTTTTTTCTCCCAGAGCTAAAAGATGGTAGGCAAAGGAGGACTTTTTTTTTTAATTTAAAAGCATTGACTAAAATGTATAAAAGATGTCCAAAATACTACTTAGAAAATCTAACAACCAAAACAATACAAAACAAAAAAATCTAACAACCAATAATCAATAAAGAAAACTTAAAAAGCTAGAAAGAGGCATTTAAAAAAAATTAAGCGGAGCCTTTTTCCTCTTGTAATCTAATTTGTCTATTTACTGAAATTCTCAATGTGGCTTTCTATTTGAAATCTTTTGGCATAAAGATATTTTATTAGCCAGTGATACTTATCGGGGTTGCTCCATAACAATACTAGGTTAGAAAAGCATTTTACTCAAGAAAACAGACAACCCTTTATGCCATGTAAAAAGAAAGTTAGGTTTTAGAAAAACACTCAAATAGGGCTCAGAATAGAAAGTATTAAGCTCCTTCAATATATATAAAGAATGTACCGGATTTTTCTGGAAGGCTGAGAGTTTTTCAAATTCCTTCTCATATGCTGTTCCCCTTAAATTTACTGACTGTCTTCTCCTGCTAAGTCTATAAGAAACATTTTAAAGATATTTCCTTAGAGTGTCTGCAAAGTTAGCTACAATTTTTTCCTGCTATCTCCACTCCTGGAAATCTATTATAGTTATTTACATTTAATATTTTCCATTCATTCTTTTATTTATTTAACACAGACTTCCCAAGTGTCTACTATGTTTCAGTCTTGGTGCTAGGCCCTGGGGATACCATAGTAAGCTGGAAGAGGAGCAGATGGTCAAAGGAGACATTCAGATATCCGTCAAGTAATCACACTAATAGAGGTATAATTATAAACTCCAGTTCATATTCTAAAGAAAAGGACACAATCTTAGTGAGTCCATGCAACAGTAACCATTCCTGGATTAGAGGGACAGAGAGGACTTTTTTTTTTCTTTTTTATTATAAATATTATTTTTATATTCCCCATACAATTGCGACCCCCTTATTTTGACCCCAATCCTTCTCCTCCCCACCCCCCTTCCCCCATAGAGTGTATCTGGTTCATAGCTGTTTGTTGATTTTGATTTTTACTTTCTTATAGTTATTCATTTTCCTGGTCCCTTATTTAGGTTTTCTAGATTCCTGCTATGAGTGAGACCATCCGGTATTTTTCTTTTTCTTTCTGGCTTATTTTGCTGAGCATGATCCCTTCCAGCGCCATCCATGTTGCTGCAAATTGCATGTGTTTATCTTTTTTGAATGCTGAGTAATATTCCATGGTGTATATGTACCACATCTTCTTGATCCAGTCATCTATTTTTGGGCATTTGGGTTGTTTCCAAAGCTTAGCTATTGTACTGAAACATCAATTCCAAAGAGCACCTGCACCCCTATGTTTATGGCAGCACTGTTTACAGTAGAGAGGACTTTTCTGAGGAAACCATCAGCACATCAAGAACTAAAATTAGGCTGAGTCTATAGACCAAGATTTAATTGCCTTTCAAAATAACATTGTGGATATCCAAACAACAAATTTATCAATTCTGAAGTCAAACAGAACAAAATTTCATTTGGTCCTTTTCCCCACAAAAGGGGAAAAGGACTACCAGCCCTATTTTGATAGAAAATGCTTATCATCTCTCATCTAACAGCATATAATTTATAGGTTATTTTTCTGGCTATTTCTATGAATTAATCATGTGAGAAAAAGAGTGAAAAATAACCCAGTTTTTGTTGTTTTTTTTTTTTACCATTTTGCCTCTTTGTCAAACAAATTACCTTTTTGAAATATCTTTCACATAAAAGATGTTTCAAGCCTTCTTACTTGCAAATTTATTCTATAAATAGTGCTATTGTAGAATCACAATTTATTCTCATTTGCCTCTGTGCAAATCTATAACTATAGGTCAAATTATAACTCATTTATATGTCATTGAATGGGCCACATTAGATCATTTTTATTTCTAATTATTATTTTACTATCCACTTTAAATTATTATAAAGGTCTTTCTTAAATCAGAATTTTCCTAATACTCCAAATACATTTGGTTGCTTTTATCTATTGTTTTCATTTTAAATGTGTATATTTGTTACAAAGTAAATACATGTATAATAGAGAAAGTAAGATGTTCAGTACTAAAATACAGTGAAAAGTTACCAGCCCTAAACCAGAGATAATTACCACTCATATTCTGTGGTATACCTGCATATAACATATATCATTCACCATATCTTCTTAGAATTTTCATGAGGTGGTTGTGGAAGCAAAACTGATATCACTTAACCATTCAACTATAATTAATGATTCATATCTAGTATCTTTTATCAAATATTAAATTATGTAAGAACTTACTGAGCAGCTATTGGGTGCTTACTACAATAGCTAAATAAGTAACAGTGCTGCCACATAAGTAATATTGCCTCCAGTTAGAATAGTTTGCATTCATTTATTTATTTCACTCTAAATTTCTCTTATCTTTAATTTAGTGATTTTTTTCTTTAATAAATTTCATCTCTTTGCTAGCAATATATAGTAGTTCAGTCTACAGAAATCTCTAGGTATCTGATCTCATAATCTGTCATTTTTCTTATCACTGTTTCTGCGTCATTAATAAATCTGAGATGGTATCATCAAAATGCAATAGAGGAGGTTCCTTGCTTTAGTACAAGATGAACAACTAACAGTCAGAACAAGACAACACTCAATATGGGGTAAGACAGAAGAACCCACTGTGCTTAAGAAAACAGAGGGGATGCTAAAGAGATCCACACATTGACATGAGAGAGTGAGTGAAGAGAAACACAAGGAGGCAGCAATCTGGGGTGGGTGCCAAAGATGGTAGGGATGCCCAAACAGGAGTTCTGAGTAAGGGAGAGTGGAGACAGTGTAGAGGCACATGACCTTGGATCAGGTGAAATTTATAGTGAAGTTTGGGGTTCCTCACACAGGCCAGGACCCAGGCCAATAGGCAAGAGAGAAATCACTGTAGAATATACTTCCCCTCTCCCACTCCTCTGAATCTGTACTGATGCAGTGAAATGTACTTTCACGTGATAGATTACTGAGTCTTACATCTAGTACCTCAGATTGAAGGAACATCAGCAGTACCACAAACGTGAACTAGGAACTCCTCACCTCCCTCAGAGCATGTTCATGCCAATGGCTAGCCCTCTTTATATCCCTCCACCATTACACTGATACAGCAACTGCTAATACTGACCACAGTACCTATAGGAGTCAGCTGAAACCAAAATGTAATAGGGCAAAATAAAATAAAGCCACAGCACCACCTGCTGGAAAGTTAATAGATAAGCAGTCTAGCTCTATAAATTGCTGAGCAAATTTTATTTATTTTTTTATTTTTTTTATTTTTTTTTGCCTGTTTTTTTTTATGTTGAAGTTCTGTGATGAGAACTAGGATAAAATATGTCTTTAGTTCAATGTATGAATTTTATGTGAAAAACATGCTTTTGAAGGGTTCACAAAAAGGGCTTGTTTTATGGTATCATTAAATATAATTTTAGCTTTTTCATGTTTTATTAACATATATTCTTTAGCTTATTTCTTTTAATTTTTAATTTTCTTACATTGTTGTTTATTTTCATACACTAATTGATTTCTCAGATTGTGTGTAGTCCCCATAACTATCTCATCACCACATCACCCATGAGGCATCACCATAATCCCTTGTGCTCTTCAAAACAGTAAAATTTAAAGTAGCATAATGGGCAGACAAAAAATATAACACATGGAAAACTTAAG